GTGACATATGCCATGAATCAAATAACCGAATACGATATAAAAAGATGGTAGAGGCCCTATGCTCCAATGGAAGATAAGGATAAGAGAGAGAGAAAGATTCTTTAAATATAGACTTCTGCGATTATTCCCGAAAAATAGAAATAATAGAAATTATATTATTATAGAAATAATAATTATAGAAATATATTAAATTATTTTAAAATTTAATATAATTTAATATAAATGAATATAATTATATATTAAAATAATTTTTTATTATTATTTTAAAATTTTAGACATCCAGATTATAAGTAATAATTTTATTTTATTTTTCGTAATTTTTATTTTTATTATTTTTTAAGTATTTTACCAATAATAATTATTCTTGAACCTAATAATATTTAAAAAAAATTTTTTTTTAAGAAATAATAAAACTTTAAGTGATTATTTATTAAATAAAAAATATATGAAATAATTACTTATTAAATTATAAATATATATTTTATTTTAAAATAATTAATACAAACAGACTCAGTTATATCTGAGATATGCTTGATAATAATGTAGTTGGTGTACATACTAAAAGGTTAGTTCCAAGACCACTGCAATACTCGAAACAGCTATTTGGTCAGCCAAAAATTCACTTAATTAAAATAATATAAATTGAGTTTTTGTTCTTGTGAACTACAACCTCTTCGCTACTTTTTGGGAGACCTCTTACAAAAAGTATTTAGTTAAATACTTTATAAGAATACATCTAATAAATTATTGAACATACTATATATTATTTACACAACAGCAGAGCTCCTAAGACCTATGAATTTCATATTATTTTTAAATTTTTTTTATTATAATTTTACTTGAAAACTATTGGAATATTTAAACCATGAACCATTATTAGTGAGTTTTTGGAGGAAGTTCCCTTTACATGTATCAGAAATCTATCGCCACATTTAGTTTATTTCGGAAGTACGCCATAAATCTTAATTTTAAAAAAGAGACACAGCAATAAAGATCATATCGCACTGCCAAGATCTTCTAAGAGAAAAGTCCGTTGGAAAAGTTGAGTACACGAAAATAGTATCCACAAATGAAGACTCAAAAACGTTCCAATGTGTGAAATGATCTTTCCGAAGAAAATTGAAAAGATTTCTTGCTAAAGGCACAGTGTTTATTTTGGAGGCGCAGTGAGCGAGTGTTTCCCGATCATGACGCGACTCCCATGCGTGGTACGGTGAATTAGTTGTGATTTAAAATTTATGGAAGCATAAAAAATGAAAAAAATTATTTACAAAAAAAACATGAAGTTTATATCGAAAAATTTTGCTAAAATTTAAAATTTAATTTTATGCTTCGGCGATCGAAAAACTATAAAATGAATATAAAAAACTGATTTTTTTTGCTGCTCAACACATAAATTTCGCTACTTCATGTGGAAAAGTCGACTGGAACTAAATTCGATAAAATAAACACTTATTTTGATTTTATGCATAAATGTATATGAGAATATTTAAAAAAATTCATGTAAATAGACTGACAGTGTTTTCATGTCCAGGCTGAATGCGAATGCAAAAAATTTCAATAAATTTCGGAACCAACACGTGTGATTGATTTTGAGAAAATTGTTTAAAATAAATAAAAAATAAGTTCAATGTTTCAGTAATAAAAATCTGTACTGAAATTGCTTAATAATGCCACGAGCTATTAAATTGATGCTTCCACATTGAAATAGTTCGGTAGTTTTATACAATTAAATAACAAAAAAAAAAAAAAATTCATATCTTATAAACAAAATAAAGTAGAAAATAATGCCGAATATAATGTATAGTGAAATTATGCTAAAAATTAAATTTAAAGAAAAATGTACGAACATATAAATAATTTCTTGAAAATCTACTTGGAGAATTGGAACCATATAGAGTGTATCATGTTAATTTCTGTGAATGGGTTCGGATTGAATAGAACTCGAAAGATAGCTACCGCAAACGTGCTCAGCGGCATTCGCACGATCACTGGGAAATCGACTGTAAACAAAACAAAACAATGGAGCAGAAGCGATGGAAAATGGAAAATGTTTAATCAAACATTTCCAAAATGAAAACGTTTAAATAAAAATATTGAAATAAAATAAAAATTAGGTCAAATTAAGTTTTAAATAAAACAAATTGAACAGCGGCACACGCTCGCTCTTGTGTAACAAAATTCGTTTGGGGAAAAAAAATGTTAGATATTTTTCGTGGCCTGCGAAACCTAATCAGGTTCAGTCATCTCAAAATCGATTCGCCAGTATTCCGCTTGCATTATTCCATAACTGTGATGATATTGATGTCGTTCTCATTAATATTAACAACGCGACAATATGTCGGCAATCCCATCGATTGCATACACACCAAAGACATACCGGAGGACGTGCTCAACACTTACTGCTGGATACACTCCACATACACACTACGTAATACCTTCACCAAAAAACAAGGTATATCGGTACCATATCCCGGTTTGGGTAACTCCGAATATGGTTATGAAAAAAAACACAACAAATACTACCAATGGGTGTGTTTTTGCTTGTTCTTTCAGGTGCGTAAGAAATGAATTGATTAAAAGCTTAAGTTTTACATAAAAAAAAAAACCCATGTCATATTGGTATTACATATTATATATAAAATAAAAATATGTTTCTTTTTTTTTTGTTCTATTTTTTTTTATAAAATATATTCTCTCATATGATAAACAAAATTTGTTTACGGCGGAAGTTTTATGTTTGCCACATATTTTGAAATGAAACATAAAGATGTGGGCATGCCCATGCATTCTCCATGCATCCACGTATCTCCTCACAACATAATTGGTCTCTAATTTACAGCGCATTTTTATTATCAAAGCATATTTTATGGGCCTTATTTTTAGAAGACATAAAAAAGACAAGGAAATATTACAAACCATTTTTCGGTAATTTATGGCTTTTTAAATTCTTTGTCAATTTTTTATGAACGACTTAAAAGTGCTTTGTGCATTCTCAGTAAAATGGCTTATATGTGAAAAAGTGAATAACTTTATGATTGCAGTCTGGCAGTATCGAAACATAATATTGAAACGATGGATGTAATAAAAAAATTTTGTTGTTGCAATTTCACTACTGCTGGATAAAGACCTTTCTATTGAAATCAATAGTTTATAATACGAATTTAGTTTCTTTCGTCAAAACGGACATAAAAAATCAATTTAATATAGATATAGTAACTAAAAACTGTTTGAACTATACGAGGTGGGTTGAAAAATACCTGATTTCACAGCAGGTGGCAACGCCAGAAAAAAGTTTATTATATATTGCATATATACGAAATTCCGTATTTCCGTATTTTATGATTCAAGTGGAATAATTTTCATAGACTATTTAAAAAAAGGCAAAAACAATCACATCAGATTACTATTGTATATTATTGTATTGATTGAATAAGGAAATAAGGAAAAAACACCACATTTGTCGAAGAAAAAACCCGCTCACCCGCTTACACGTCAAAGAAAACCATGTGAAAATTAAATGAATTACGGTACTCACACTCACTGTTTTCTTCAGATTTGGCTCCCAAAGACTATTATCTGTTTTGAAACATAAAAAAATTACGCCAGGGAAAGAGACTTACATCAAATGATGAAATGGAATTGGAAACTGAAATATATTTTGGAGGACTTGATAAATCGTATTATTTATAAGCTATTCAAATGTTGATAGATCGTTGGATACGGTGTGTCAAGTTAAAAGGGGACTATAATGACGGCTAAAATATAATTTTTCAAAAAATATATATTTTCATTACTTAGACCAGATATATATCAATTCTCCTACTCTCACATATAAACATATATAAAATCTACAATATAAACGTATTTGCAATTATGTGTGTCTGACTGAGTTAGGTCATTTCGAGTGTAATATAATACGAGATTTATATATATTGGCCAAATTTAAATATGGTGTAAACTATAGACACTATCGTATCTGCTCTGATACAAGGCTAAATTAAAGACTTTTATTATCGTAATTTGTTTTGAATATATAATCTATCAACAAAACGGAAATTTCACTAAAGTGATTTTAATTCGAATTTAGTATTTAAGAATTTAGTTTTATATTGATAGAAGTATACTTACACTCATCTATAGTAATAAGATCAAAAAGTAATAATATCTTAAACTATTTATAGGGAAAAAGTGAGGAGCTCAACGTATGGAGCAATTTATCCCAGTTCAATCCCATTGAGAAGAGTATTTTTCCGATGTATATGTTTCATAGTTCACTAGTAATAAACTGGAAATAAATTAGAATTTATATCAGATATAGATCATTGAATGCACCTGCCTAGTAAGCATGACAATTTCTTCAATATTTGTTCAATATGCATTACCGATTCAAAAGCAGAACTCGTCCAATTTGATAATAGGTTTCTTATAAAACCCATATGTGAAATTTAAAATTTTTGAAATTAAATGAATAGCATCTTCTTTGTTCCATTAATTCCCAGTGTAGAGCAATATTGCCTCAACAATTCCTCTGAACCGTATCCTATTTGGAGCTGCCGTGCAGATGTCGTTCCAAGAGAAGCGGACTAATGTTAGTTTGGCATTAATTGTCCTTCGCAATGTTCTTGAAGGAGCACCAAGCCAGCGACTGGCTTGCGAGTTTCAATTTAGGGCTTACTTAACACGAACTCGGCTTGCTTGTATGTCCAATCCATTGCCATTTTCGTTTTTTAATTTCATTTTCGACACTTTGCATTTTCTTCTTTTTCCACTATTCCATGTTAGAAATGTATTCTTGCCATCATATTTTGAAGATGCGTCTTAGACATTTGTTTATGAAAACTTGTATTCACAAATTGATTGATCTAGTAAACTTCCATGTTTCGCACCCATTCAGAAGTACAAATACGATATTTGATTTAAGTATTCAGAGTTTTGTTTTGACGCTTAGTTGGTTCAACCATATGTTTTGTAATTCGCCAAATGCAGACTTTCCCTTATTTATACGAGGCGCTACGTCTTCTTCAGCTCCACTAACGTTAGTAATTACGCTGCCCAAATATGTGCAGAATCCACTGGATATTTTTTCGATATATTCATTTCAAAGCCTGCTACCTGAGCGTTACGATTTAGGCGTCTACGTGATGTTGGAGATCACTCTTTCTGTGGCTTCATCGTCCGCATATTCAAAATCTTCCAGATGGAGAAATAGTGTGCATTATATGCCATGGCGTACATCGATCGAATTTCTTAAAATTCCGTCCAGAGCTAGAATGGAAAGCATCAGTGAAAGCAGACAGCCTCCTATACTCATGTCAAACGAGTCAGAAAGCACTCCGCCGCGGAAAACTTTGCATTTCAACTCAATGCTCATAGACTTAATGATGTTAAGGATTGTTGGTGAGATGCTCCTTTGACGTAAAACAGTCCATATGAAACGTCTGTTCAGACTATCAGAGGCTTTTTTAATGTCTGTCAATGCTGCATAAACAGAATACTGTTATTAATGAATATAAGAAATGTAGCACCGGATAAATTTTAATATTTTGTTCTATTGAAATTCAAGAAAAAGTTTTAAGTAATTAAAACCAGCAAACGGTTTAGTAATAAAACTCATCAGTATTAATAACTATAGAAAGAGTATTAGAAATAGCTATGAGATCCAAGAGAAATATGGTCAACTGTTTTTATAATATATGGCATAGCACATCTATTTATAGTAGTAATAGATGAAAATCAAGAACACCTATTTACCGACATATGTATGGCAACAACAAATACAAAAGATAAAAAACAGTAATTTTTAAAGAAGAATATATATATACTACGAGGGCGGTTTGATAAGTCAACAACTTTTTGAATTTCCCGCGCAGTTACCCCAAATGCAATAGTACTGCCGTCAGCTGTAATCTACCAGTGGGCAACTTTTTAATTTTGAGCAAGCTACGTCGTTCGGTTGGTGTTTGATAGCCGTTCAAAGCAGACAACCTCGTGAACTTTTATGAAAATGGAAAAAAGTGAATTTCGTATGTTGATTAGGCATTACTGGGCAAAATCCACGAATTGGGATACGAATTACTACCCCATCCAGCATATTCTCCAGATTTAGCCCCCTGTGACTATTTTCTGTTTCCAAACCTAAAGAAATGGAGAAATGGCTGGGCGGTAAGAGATTTGAGTCGAATGAAGAATTCATTGCCGAAAGAAACGAGTATTTTAAGAGCTTTGAGAAAACCTCTTATTTGGAGGGAATAAAAAAAAAGATTTGTTTTATTCAAAAAGTCACAGACTTATCAAACCGCCCACGTATATACAATGTCAATGTTAAATACAATGCCAAAAAATGATGAAATATATTGAAGTTATCTGTTAGGATATAGTGACACATATCTTTTAATCACGTAAATTGGTAAATATTAAATAAATAATGTTATTATTAAAACCATAGTTTTTAATTCGATTTTTGTTAAATTAAAAGAATCACATAAATGTATCTAAGGAATGCATCTCAGTAATTGATTTACAGAGCAATGGTGAATATATTCAATTTTAATGATACTTTGTTTAGATTACTTTGAAATTATTTCCTGTTGACGTGAATAAAGATGTAAATGAAATACTTATTTTTGTGTGTAATACTAAACAGAAATAAATATCTTATAAATACTTAATCATATTACAAATGTATATAAAAAAAATTTACTCATGAGTCAACACGAATATAAATTTATATATAAAAATCTTGCCAAAACAATTCGAACTTTCACCTCAAAAAAAATAAATAATATTTTGACTCTATTTAAATATTAATTAATATTTCTGAAAATAACAAATAATAATTAAATTTTTAATAAAATGTTGTCATTTTCATAATTCCTCGTCTGCGAGATATAATTTATAATTAATTTAATATTTTAATATTATATTATAATTGGATAGACAGAAAATATTACGAAAAAGTTCCTCAATGGCTTTAAACATAGAAAAACAAATAAAATACAGAATTTTAGATATTAGAGGATTTGGTACAGGTTTTTATTGAGATAAAATCTACAAGTGGAAATAATTTTTTTTTAATTTATTATGTTAAGGAATTAAAACGTTAAATTTTAATTAATTTATAAAAATATGTCGATGAATCACGTATAATATGAGTGCCATAATATCGTATAGTCACGAGTAATTTGAGAGAATATATAAAAATATTTATAATAAATAATAGAGAGGATTGCTTTTGTCAAAATTGACTTTAAGATTTCATTAATATTTTTTTCTTAAAAGCTATTGAAATGAGTTCAATTTAAAACAAAAATTTATAAAAAAAAATTTATAACATTTTTGTTCTAATTATTTATATGCGAGAGTTACTTTTTATATTTTGAGCCTTCGCAACACTAATTGTTGTCAGGTGCCATCTGACGTTTCCATACGAAAGTTTGACATTATAAAATATGAGAGAATTTTAACGTGAGAAAATTTTCGTGATGATTTAGGTATTACGACTTTCGATGTGGATTATAAAGACAGAAGAGTGAATCGATCAACTTACTTCCACATTTAGCGTTTAAGCTCCATCCTTTGCCACTGTGAAATTGAAAGGCTGGTACAATGGTTTCATTCTTGGTCGCACTTCACAGTTCGCTCACTGTCGAAGACGAAATTCGTGAAGGTCGTTCAAAATCACTTGTTGTACCAGAAAATATTAATACTGTGCAAAAACTGATGCTGATCGTTGGATCCCATCCTCCATCATTTGACATGACAAAAACCCAAAAAAATGCTCGTGTCGATTGAAGCACACAAATGGCGGTGCTTCAAAAGACGCAAGGACGTAAGATTGTAATAGGTGACGAATTATGACGTATGAGCCGGAACGTAAACAGCAATCGACAGTATGAGTGTTTCAAGAAGAATCAAATTTAACAAAAATTCTTTGCGTTTGAAGCTCTTCAAAACAAATGGTCGCTTGTTTTTTCGGGAAACTGGTCATGTGGCAACTACACCATATACATTACTACAGAAACATAAAATGCTCACTTCCGAATGGTATAAAATCATTTGTTTAGTAAAATACGGAAAGCAAACAAGCGGCGTGGGATCATTCTTCATCAAGCCTATGACTATTAGAACATTCTAAAAATCAAATTGATGGGTTATGCAGATGGCCGTACAGTCCTGATTTGGAACCCAATGACTTCTTCTACTTCGACAAACAATAAATCAATTTTCAACGACAATTTAGTATTTTTTGAATATAAGGCTCAATATATAAATAGCCGCCAAAATAAATTACATCTTCTGTCTTTTAGTCTATAAAGAATAATCGTCAAAACATTAAAATTAGTTTTGCTATGTCTCTCTCCTTTAAAACCACACTGGATAAAGTACCTCCCAACTATTTTTTTTGTGCTTTTTAGATTATGATTGATACGATTTATAGTTGACCTGACGGTCGTTTTTAACGTTTTAACGTAGAATATTACGAGTTTATTTATATATCAAATAGAAAGTACTATTCTATATACATTCGGAAATATTTGCAAAATGGAATTATAAAAAGTTATGTACAAGGAAAAAATAACAATATACCATCGAAAGTTATATACTAAAATAATTTAAATATTTCTTTATTAACAGTAACACAAGTCCAAACATTTATTTCAACTGGATTAATCAATTATTGTTAATCTGGTGAATCGATAAACAATAATCCAGTCAAGGCGTAAAGAGGGGCTTTTTAGATACCTCTCATTTATTAGAGAGTAAAGTGCTCAAGTGCACTGGCTCAAAAAAACAACATATTAAAATTATATTAAACTCATATTGGAAACAACTGCCGTGTGTGAAATAGAAACTTTATATAATATATATTATTTAAATGAAATGAGAATTATAAATGCAATCATTTTTTTCAGCAACATTCATATGGGAAGTTGCATATTAAAGATATACGATAGGTAGAGATGTTGCAAGAATTGTTAGAAGAAGTAACGTTTAACGTAACTTAAGTGAATTTAGATTATAAAATATATTATATGGTATGAAATTTAAAAAAAATTAACATGAAAAGTAACTTATTTTGTAGTTATTTCAAGTTATTTGAAATGCTTACTATACTGCAATACAATATAATGACTGGCTGATGTAAATATTAAATTTAATAATATATAGGATGGCTAACATATTATTACAAAATTGAATTTTTGAAGTAAATACTTTCAAGAAAACAAAAGAACTCTTTGTTTTTCACAAACTCCTAATCCTTGCAAAAATGAATCTCTATATAGACAATTAACTCTATAGACCTAACTCTATGAGTTAGCAACGGTAGCTCACAACACTTTTGTTGAAAAGTTAATAAAATGCTAACAATCACTCCAAACTTAAATAAAATTCAAAATGTTCTGAATTACCAAATGTAATGATGTTAAAGGTATTGAAGTAGCTGTCAGTCTAGAGAAATTAGACACACAGTCAAAACTGAAAAAACAGATTAATTTTAACATATTTACTGAGCATGTGCTCTCATATGATGGTTAAATATGTTCGCTAAGCAAAAACGCAAATAACAGATGACAAAGACTTGATATTTCTGAGGTATTTAAAACTATATCTATGTCTTTCAAGAGGAAACTCCACCCTTTGTTACCAGGTTTCCCTCGTTAAAGTCTATGCATTGATATTACATTATATCTTTAAGTCATTTGGCAGCATGATAAGCTTAGCTGATGTTGGTACTTAAGGCAAATGCAATATGCCCCAATCCTACAGGATGATATACTAATAGTAAGACTGCGAATACTTGATTGCGAATAGAATGAATACTAATGAAACGTTTCAATATTATTCACGAACTCAAGCTTGAAAGTCAAATTAAATAAGATAATTTTAAATTGTAATTAGTACAAAATTAATATTAAGCTATTGGCTAATAAATAAAGAATTTACAATAAATACATGCTCTACAAAGCCAACTCATGGCATTAGCTTAGACGTGCCCTAATACTGAGTACAAGCTTTCCATAAGTTTTTCCGAATGTATCTATCGAATACAATTGAATTATTCAAGCTACCAATAACAAAGGTCACTGATTATAAAAATCACTGAAATAATCTGTGTGAATATTTCAAGAATAAAGAATAATAGAGTGTTATGAATGCCAGAGTCTATTTGTTTCAATTTAAATCGTCTACACATACTTGTGGTATGATACCTAAGGGATTATATTTGAATGATATAATTTAGTGACTAAGTGACGGATAAACAAGAGTATGATAGGGTATGATAGAGTATGATAAGAGTATGATCTGTATTAACACTATACAGAAATAGAGAGTCACATCACCACTCATAGGTATAGGGAAGGATGACTGAATCTAACCGTGTAAATAGTGACATTGCGAGGGAGGCATTGCGACCGATAGGAATCAAAAGCATGACACGAGAGTTTTTCTTGATTGATGTCGGCTGTGTAATACTGATCCCAAGACGCCACCTCCAGAACCGACGAGAGTTTCGGGCTTGTCACCATGCCATAGAAGACATCTAAATACACACGTTTAACACCACAGCTAACACAACAAATAGATTAACTTCATCATTATCAATTTATCTTAATTTATATTTTCATATTTTGATATTGATTTAATTAACGTTAGCTCCTTTTAGTAGTTTTTCATTTATTTGTATTCTTGACAGGAAGACTATAAGTGATGAATGAACATATCTATTAACAAATACAAGCAGTTTTTATTGCAATAGTTCATTTAAGAACCACTACATGAAAATGTAGTAAGTAGAAGAAGGTACTACCTTTTGTCTTTTTAAATAATTTAATTTACTTATAATTTTAAGCGTAAGTATAAGTTAATTAAACCATCATTTGCATTTTGAAAATAAAACGACGAATAAATTAATTTATTTATTATTACATCTCATTAATTAAATTATTCATTAAATAATTTATTACTAGATGTAAAATATATATAAATCACATAAAAAATTTAAAAAAGTACTCACCTGATCTGTGGTGTGAACATTATGACACTGAATTATGTACCATATATGCTCTGAAATGAAATTTAATAACATTTTATGTTACTGTTTGAATACATACAAATAATAATATATAAAGCAAATAGCAAATATATGTATATATATAAGGGTTATATATATATGTATAAGGGTTAAAACATAAACTTCCTATAGTTGGTTGCATGCTTAGAACATGTGAGTTGTGAATACAGATAAATGCCATAACACTAGATTGAGAGTATACATATATGAAAAGACGTTAGATCGTCACCTATAATTCATAAAGAGTTATAAATAATAATTCATAAAGAGTCATTTATAATTCATAAAAAGTACACATATAGTATTTTCAAAGAAGTACATAGGATGTAGTAACACGGCCCATAACCATCTACATGGTTATCGAACCATGTCCTCAGTGTATTGCCTAATGACAATACCCGGACACGGTGAGAGTTAATTACCGGAATAAGCACAAAAGAATATACTTAGCCCTACAGAACTGTCTTATGAGATACTCTACCCTCATTTGTAATTAAATATTCACAAAATAAGTAAATAGTTTCTTTGTATAAGAGGCTACAATATCAATAGATACTCGTATTTTGACGGGGACTTGTTTTGGGCGGGATATGGGCCGTTTTAAGTAATATATCTACGTAGTGCAAAAAATGTATAGTACATGCTATTTTTATCAAAACAGAACCAGATGTATGTAATAACTTTATTCTAGCGGAGCTTATCTCAACCCAAAGGCTACATCATACATGATTCATGTGTGTTTGTAGTTTGTTAGGGCACTAGTTATGCATATAGGAGGCCACTAGCAATGTCAATGTATTATGGTATGTAAAAATGCAATCAGGTAAAAATCGGTACCATTGACAATATATTACCAGCTTTTAAGTCTTAATATTTTATTATTTGTATTATTGACTTATTAGATGTGTCTTTTTTTCAATATTAAGAAAATATATTCATTGACACGACAAGAAATTTCATATGACCAAAAATTCGATAGTGTTATCGATATTTTGCTCTTTTGACAAGTCCATTGCAAGCCTAAGGAGCTGTAGAGCCATTGGTATTAAATTCTTTTTCATAGTATAGTGAAATATTTAACAAGAGAAGTAATTTAAAATTTTGCATTTCCTATAATATCAATAACGCCGCCGATAGTTGATAGCATCCACATATGATTAATGACACAACGTTCATATTATTACTTTGATATATTATATATATCATATTATATTTAATAAATTATATATATATTCATCTTAAGTTTAAAATTTGTCTAAAGACATTAAAAGTAACAAAAGTTTACTTTTCCTTTTTCAGGCGATATTATTCTATACTCCAAGGTGGCTGTGGAAGTCTTGGGAAGGTGGTAAGATTCATGCGCTTATTATGGACTTAGATATAGGAATATTCTCAGAAGCAGAGAAAAAACAGAAAAAGAAACTACTTTTGGACTATTTGTGGGAAAATCTAAGGTTTGTCTTAAAGATATCTTTATTCAATTTGTAGTTTTTTAAAATATATAAAATAGGGTGTCATATATCGGACTTATATTCTTTAATAAAATATGTTACGATACCTTACTCAGATAATAATATATTATAATATTGCAGATATCACAATTGGTGGGCCTACAGGTACTATGTATGTGAACTGCTGGCGCTCATAAATGTGATAAGTAAGTTTTACAATTTGGCTTCAAAATAATTGTAACAATTATTTCATATAATTATAATAAGTTTTTTATATAATTATTTTTATTATGTATAATTATAATTATTTCATAATATTATAATAATTATTTTATACATACATAATAATTATTTTATATTATTATAATAATTATTTTATGTAATTATAATAATTATTTTACATATTTATAATAATTATTTTATATATTTATAATAATTTTTTTATATTATTATAAAAATTATTGTAATAATCATAATACTTTTATTTATTATAAAATTTTTATATGTTATATAACATTTTCTTTTTATCAATTATAGTATAATACAAATATTTTCATATAATTATAGAACTTATTTGAAAAATATAATAATTGCTGATGAATCATATTAGTTATTTTATGTAATTTAATTAATATTTTGTATAATTACAAAATTTCTTTATATAATATAATAACGTATTTTATTATAATTATAAGAAACATTTCATTACAATAAAAAAAAAAGTTTATGTAGCCATAATAATTAGTTCATTTAAATTATTTAATTATAATAAATTATAAATAGTTATTGATAATAATTTTATCATATAACTACAGAAGTTTTTTATGCATTTTTAATAGTTATTTTATACAAAAATTGTAAATATTATTTATATATTATTATAATAATTGTACCAAATAATTACAATAATGATGACTTTAAATATAACATATGATTATATTAGTTATTTTATATAATTCCAGAAATTATTTTATATTATTAAAAAACAAATTTTATGTAGTTATAAAATTACTTTATGTAATATAATTTATATTATTAATTTATAACAATTCAATAATTGTTTTATATAATAATAACTATTTTGTATAGTTATCATTATTTTAAACTATTAAATTAATTATTTTATGAAATTATAATAATTATTTCATATAACTGCAATTATTT